CCTAATTTTAGCAGTGAGGTATAACGCGTTATACTCGCTATTCGCTGTGTGATTATGTTCCAGGAGATCTGATTCCTCGACACCAGCAGGTCTTCAGCAACAACCAGTTCTTCTGTGGAGTATCCATTCCAGAGCCACAACAGATGGTGACGACGAGTTTTGCTTCCTTTATTTCAGTCAGAAAAGGCCGAATAAAGATCATTTCACTGAAATAATAAATGAACAAAAAGAAATATCTAACCTTGTGACTGTTTTTTCAAAAAGTCCTTTTGTTCTTCGATTTCTGCAGGAATCTTTGGAGCAAAAGTATCCAAACCTCTCACATCAAACTCTGAGCCTGATGAAGGTGAAGTTGTTTTTATTTTAATGTTTGCAGTTCTTCCTGTTGCTGTTTTGCAAAACTGACAAATTCTGGTGCTTTGTCCACACGTGATGGTGCAGGGCTGTCTGCGGATGGACCCGTCTGAGCGGCTGACCTGTGAGCAGCTCCTCCAGCATCCGTACTTCGACAGCCTGAGAGAAAGAAACGAGAGCACATCTCGACAGCAGGACCGCTCCGGCAACAAAAGGACACGTTTACCTCGCAGACACGTTCCCCCCGGGGTGAGCAGCCTTCTGTTCCAATGATAAAGATGACGTACCATATTTGGGATAACTGGTGCCAAACTGGTTGTGTTTTAACTTGAATACAGAATTGTCAGTGGTTATATCGGCTCATATTATTAAAACGAGCACTTAAAAGTTACAAATCAAAAACTACTTCTTATACGTTATTAATAGATGACTACTTATACCACTTATACTACTTATTATATATCAAGATATAATAAAAGATAATCAGGTCCCGAGTTCTGAAATTTAGGTAAATACAACATCGATGAACTACAAAACATAACATGGCAGTTTGTCCCGAAAGAACATCTGCAATCGCCACAATTCAACTTTATTCTCAAAATGATCAATATTTTTGTTCTTAATTTGTCCCTAATACTTCATCATAGAGGGTAAGTAGCAGTCAAGTGTTGCTAATAAAATGCACTTATCTGATGATCATCGACGAGGGTCACCGACTCGATAAAAGCAGAGGTTTTTGGCAGTTTGCAGGACTGTAGCAGGGAGGTGTGTGTTAACACAAAACCAAAATGTTCCCAGAAGTGGACATCCCAGCAAATTCATCCTAAGGTCAAATCATGCAATGCTCAGAGAAACTAAAAAACAAAACAAGAGCTACATCTCAGTTAGCATGTTGAATGTGAAAAAGACTGAACAAGTGTGGCTTGTTTGGAAGGAAAGCCTCTTCTCTCTAAAAAGGACACGTTAGCACAGCTTCAGCTTCCAACGTTTCAACTAAACAGATGACAAGATTTCTGGAACAATACCATTTGGAGAGATCAGACCAAAGTTCCACTTTGTTTGGCCATAAGCACCACATTTGGTAAAAACCAAACACAGTGTGTCAGTAAAACACCTCACACCAACAGTCGAGCACGGTGGTGGAGGAGTGAAGATCTGGGTTTGTTTTGCACTCGAAGAACCTTACAGCTATAGAGTCGACCGTGAACTCTGTTGTGCGGGGTTTTCTAGAATTAAATGCGAGGCCATCTGTCCAACTGGTCAAACTAGTC